ATATGTGATTATGGGGATCTATCTCCAATACCCTAGGAGGAGTTCGATAACAAACAGAGGCTATAACTTTATATATATATATATATATATATATATATTTATATTGTATGCACATATGATAGTTGGAGATACTATGGTAATTTTATAAGCGTAGCTTAGATGCCAGTTAGGATCGAACTCACTATTCAGTCGTAATTGATTTAGCGACACAAGCTTGCTAACCATTGTACCACATCGGAGTGGCCCAGTCGGAGATATTATGCATATTGCCTTGATACTGTGGATTCTCCTTTGTCTTCTTTTTCAGCATAGCTTCATCTGTATCTTCCAAAATGTGTTGTAGATCCGATCTGTCACCTAAATATTACATACAGGGAACGTTGGACAACACCATGCACACACAGTGTTGTTACAAGTGAACAGCAAATCGATGTACGTTTCTGATTGGAAAAAATGCTCTCCTAAGTACTACTCAACATGCATTGCAAGATGTTTGACAGATTCCCTGGTCGTCATGATCGTCAGAATCGTCCACCAGGGGCCATGTGTGGGACATAATGAGACAACATTTAGTTAGACCACTTATAACTTGTATTGTGCAACCTAGACTATACAACCAACCCAGAGTATCCAACCAACACAGAGTATACTAAGCTAGGTCGTTTTATACACGTGATATATGTTAGGCTATGCCACTTTATAACCCTGGGGACAAAATTGTCTCGGCAAGAATGTACTTCATAGAACAGAATATATCCTCTCCATTTTTTTTAATCATTTCACCTCAAACAAGTCGATACATTAGTAGGTGGTTACAGAAATGAGAAAACTTTAGTGGGAAGAAGTGAGGAAAAGACAATAAAGGAACAAGATTTAGGAAGACAAGATGACAATTGATGTTGCATTTAAATATAGGGAAATTGTAGATGGCAGGAAGACAAGAACTCGGAACGGGAATCCATAGCCGAGAAGTTCTATAAGAGAAACTATTAGAATAGAATAGATGGTTGCATCTAGCGAGTTCAATAGGAAAACGGTGTGACCTAGTTGTCAATCTACTAGCATGCTTAGCAAGCAGTCCAGGTTCACTAAGGAACAAAGGCCATCAAAAAAATTGCCATGAAAATATAGATTTCTACATTTTGGATAGGTGTCATACCCTTGTTCAAATTTAAACCAAAGCGAAAAAAATCATTGGGTGTTTGTGTGCAAAAACAGCTTGATCTGACCACTTAGATATGTATTTGATGCAATAATTAATTGAATGAATTGATGAGCAGATTTCAATTTTGTTTTGACAGGTGAATTATCGCAACAAATATATATTGTAAGACACTACCCACTGATTGATGATTTCTTGCTCAACTTGACGTCCATATTGTCTCATTTTGCTCTTGCCGATGTGACTCCATCTTCTGACATTCCCCTTCCATATTTTGGATAACATTCCCTTGTTCAAATTTAAATTTAAATCAAAGGAAAATATTTCAGTGCGGGTCCCCCCACCGAGCAGCAAACTTTACTCGAAATGAAATATACTTATCCAAGTGCCCTAGGAGCTATTCTCTTGTTCAAATTTAAATTTAATTTATATCAAAGGGAAAAAAATTTCACGTGGGTGTCACCGCCCCCGCGCCTTTGATCAAAATGAAATATACTTATCCAAGTACTCTGGGTAATGTAGTTTCAGAATATATATGGTTATTGGGGGGGGGGTCTATCTTCAAATCCCTAAGAGGATTTTGATAACAAACAGACAGACAGAGGCTACACTCTTTTATAGAGAGATTTTCTCTCGGTTGAAACTATATTTTGGTGGATGGATGGATGATAAAACAATTCTCACAGACACCAATCGTAACTATCTTCAATCCCAAGGCACGATTTTGAATTTTGATTTTCAAGGCAGAAAAGTCCACCCCATTTAAAATACTGGGACAACAAAATCTTTCTAACGAACATTAGCCCTTCATCCGTCTATTTTAAGCTTCGTAAATATTTATCGGAGTCCTTTTTCTCTTTAGTACCTTCATACTCTCTTCATCATATTCAATAATTAATAAATAAATATACTGTTTAATAATTAAAGATATGTCAAATTTAATCAATTTCCTAAAATATTATCTTTGTTTACGTTAAGATACGAAACAGAGAAAATATGTATATTTCGAGAATCAGGAAAAATATGTATTCAAAAGGATTATCCGGGTCTTGCGGTAGCAGGAAGTCGTACGTGGCCGATTGGTTAAGTCATGTTAAATCTAATGACAGTTTCCTCTAGGGAACACAAGTTCGAATCCTGCCGGTGGGCGCATATTTTCTAACAAGATTTCTCGAATATTCAGGCCGGTAGATACAGATAAAAAATTTACTCAAATATGAGTATCCATTACAAACAATGTTTAAACAAATAGTTTCTTCATATATATGTGTGTGTATTTAATACGCAAAATTCACACTACATATGCTACCTAAGTTTCACGCTCTTGGTAAAGGATCTTCAGGAAAGGTTATAATTTTGCAGCTATAAAATGTCACCTGCTGCTTACATCTTTAAATATGATGAACTCCACCCATTCTTTCTTATTGACCCGGATGTGAACTTCATCCGGGTCTCGTATTTGCGGGCAAATACTTTTTGTCACATATACATATGCACATACATACATACATACATACATACATACATATTTAAAATTCAAATAATGATAATAAGTAAATCAACATTAATATTGTATCGATTGTTATATGTTTTCGTCATATAATAATCGAATTTGTCGTGGAACTGACAGTAAGGCCTGAGAGCTCGGAAAAAAACAGGATTTTAAACGTTTTTAAATCTGATTTTAAAACCATCCTTCTATAACGGATTATAATTAAAATGTATAATAATACTACATCACTGAAAGCAACAGATGTTTTAGTAAGTATCCTTTTTTATCTCTTTTAAAAGATATATGTATCGTTCGGTTAAAATCATACAATTTTAAACATGATGAAAGTTTATTTGAGCATTTTTAAAAAATATTTTAGTTTTCTTCTATTTTTCTGGTGACTTTCAGGAATATTTTTTGCGTTTGGTGACAAGTCTTTAAAATAAATACTTAAAAATTCAGTGTGATATAACTATATGAACTCTTTACCTGAACAAGGTTTCAGAATTTAAATTGTTGAAAGTAATATTATAAAATAAAAACGTATTCATTTTATAAACAAGAGTTACGCTGAGCGGACAGTTTTTTTCGACATAAAAACAAACAAAAACGACGGCTAAGAAATGTATATTTGAAACAAACATATATTTCAGTATAGAAATCTCAAAATACTTACGAGAAAAGTCTTTGCTTCTACAACTTCAGAATAATCCATCTCAACGAATTTATGAAACACGCAGTTTCTCTTTGGCCTCTCATCAGTCGCTATGACCAAACGATCTTTTCTTCCATTTAGCAGACGATAATATTTTTTCCTAAAAGACGCTGTTTGCGTAGTGCATCATGGAATGTATTAACACTTTCAAAAATTATTTCCTTATTGATCGTGCCATGAGTATATATAACTATGAAACATGTAATCATATATTAAAAATTAAAAATCATTATCCATATTTTAAAACATTTAAAAAAATCAATATTATGTAAATTGTGAATTATAGAAAAATCGAAATGTGTACATTTTAATTATACCTGCAGATGAAACGAAATATATGTTCTGAGATAGCACCCTGAATCCTATTATTGCCTCTCTGCCACTTCCTCTCTTTCTCACTCAATCTTTCTCTGTTGTGTTCTTAGTGAACATAAGTGACTATGGTTCTCCACGCTTTCCGGTCATTTGTGGCTCCCGCAAATATTTTATGATATTTTTTCTCTATATTGTGCTTGATTTACCCTCCATCTCCTTACATTTGTCAATTAGCTTCTTTCTTTCTATGTGCCACTTGCCATCAAGACGAGAGGAATAACGGTCCTCCACAGCTTCCTGTCTTTTGCTGCTCTAGGTACCCTTTCTTTATGACTCCTCTTTATCTTCGTATTACTTGTTCGACAATCCATTTACTTAAATTTCTAAAGTAGGTTCTCTTTTTTTATGTGTCACTTGTCATCAAGAAGAAAGAAATCACGGTCCTCCACAGCTTCCTGTCTTTTTCTGCTCTTAGTAATACCCGTTCTTTTTTACTCTTCGTTCTCCTTGTATTTCTTCTTCATCCATACATTTGCTTAAATTTTGTCAAGTAGATTCTTTCTATGTACCATTTGCCATCAGAACGAGAGCAATAGTGGTACTCCACAGCTTCTCGTCTTTTGCCTCTCTTGGTAATACCCTTTCTCTATGATTCCTCTTTGTCTTAGTATTACTTGTTCGACAATCCATTTGTGTAAATTTGTCAAGTAGATTCCCTCTTTCTATGTGTCACTTGCCATCAAGAAGAAAGAAATCACGGTCCTCCACAGCGTCATGTTTTTTGCTGCTCTTAGTAATACCCGTTCATTATGACTCCTCTTTGTTTTTATATTTATTGTTTATTCATTCATTTGCTTAAATCTATCAAATTCTTTCTTTTTTGTGTGCCATGTACCTTCAGGACATGGGTGATCACGGTCCTTCATAATTTCCTGTCTTAAATTACAGTTTATTTCTCTATTGCTTTATACCTTTTATCATATTTTCTTCTCTCCATTTGCTTAAATTTGTCAAGCAGTTCTCTCTTTCTCTGTCTCCTTCCCCATTAGTACGAGATAAATCATGGTCCTCCACGACTTTCCGTCTTTTGCTGCCCTCAGTAATACATGCTTTTATAAATTCTCTTTGTATTTCGTTTTCCTCCATCCATTTTCTAAAAGTTGTCAAGTCGTTTCTCTATTTTTATGTGTCATTTTTCTTAAGATCGTGGCTGATCCGTGTCCTCCAGAGCTTCCTGAATTTTGTTTCTCTTAATAATACCTGTTCTTGTATAAATTCTCTTCCTCTTTGTGGCACCTAGTCCTCCATATATTGGCTTACGGCCATATACGTTGAAACACCTGTTCTCGTATTATCACTGAAGTTAAGCAACATCGACCCTGGTCAGTACCTAGATGAGTGACCTCGTAGAAATACCAGGTACTATAAGCTTGGATGTGCAGGTGGTGTATTAGACAACGGTTCAGAATTGAAAATCGGAGAGCTGGGTTCCATTTCCAGTTAGCTTCGTTATAATCACTTACGGACATGGGAAAGGTATTAATTCAACTCTTCCCCCCACAGCTATGGGTTAATTAGTAAGACTTGTATCAGTAAACCGTTATTATCTCCAAAAGAATTCTTACAAGTTAGAAGTATTTTCTGGTCTTAAATTACCCGCAAAAAGTTGATAAGACATAAAAAACAAATCAATCAGAACCTCTTTGAATTTGGACCTAATTGTCAAGTAAGTTGCTCGCTGTTTTTTCTCTAGCCTTCGATGCGCCAGATTCTCCAAGCCTTTATCGTTATCAGTCCTGAAAATTCCAGATGTTTCTTTCTAATTGTTATCACTATTTTCTTTTTTACTTCGTATTAATCTTACACTCATTCTGCTCGTAATAATAACAACATGCCACGACTTGGACTTTTTATATTCTTTAGATGTTATACACTCTGCGATCTAAAAAAATAATGGAAAATGGTGTAGAATTATAATTGTGGGTAGCAAATATTTATTCATCTGGGATATGATACCATTCAGAGATTTTCAGTCATTTAAATCATTCTTTACTTAGGATTTTTATTAACATTGTAACATACCTATTCGATCCCTGATCATGAACCGGTAATGCGATAGAAGACCCCTCTAGTTAAGTTTTGTCTCAGATTTGAAGGGATCACCAGGCTAAATGCCAAAATGTTCATGAGGTGTCGACGGTTACGCACCGCAATGAAATAATATTGAAAGTTTCGAGGATTTTTAAATGAAGACAAAAAGGCCAAATTGGCAAATTGCAATAGCGAAAGATTGCCGTTTTATTGGTCATGGTTAGTTATAAACTTGTAACGATTCCCGCACCAGTAATTACCTAACTCCGTCTTTTATCCTTTTCCTTTAAAAGAGCCAGATTAGGAAGAAAATGGAATAATACTGCCATATATGGGTAGGAGCTTCCCAGTCTTCACTTTACAGTCTAGATTCAAAACCGTATCCGCTTCATTATAGATGACGAATTATTTTCCACCATACACTCTCTTTCTCATAGACGAAACGTCACAAGACTCTCATTGCTCTAGCGTTATTTCCATGCAAGTGTTCAAACTAAGTGTTCCTCAGTTCCACCAGTTCTAACCTTCACAGCGAAGACCGGCAATGACATTCACATTTTAACGGACTACCTTCATTCTCTTCGTATTCCATTGGTGAGATGTAAGTTCCACTCGAAAAGTTTGTTTCCACGAGTCGCCGCTTTTTGAAACCGATTCTCAAGAGGATAGTTCTCCGATCACAGCCTTAATCTGTTCAAGTCTAGGGTCAACCATTATTTTACCCACATATTATCATAAACTGTACCTCTTACTCTCTAACATTCAACTTCGAGTTGTTCTTGCGCTTTTTACAGAGTGAACACCATTAAAAAAAAGACTATCCTTCTCACGATTTATCGGCATAGCACAATACACATTCCGATCGATCTACCTCGACTGATCAATGAGATTATAGTCACTGGTCTAAAGAATTACGTTGCTATTAGTTAGTTCCTTTAGTAGTAGCAGTCGTCATTGTTGTGAAATATCGGCTGTTAAACTATTTGGCACATTGTCTTGACTGTACGACGACCACTGCAACCCCTCGTACTCTCTTGGCCATATTTCGGCATGACTAGCTAGAACTCTCGCGGAACTGTGTCGGGAGATGTCTCAAACTGTCGCTTTGGCTGTACGCGTGCCAAAAATATGGGACATATATCCCTTTGTCTTGTCATCGATGATGGACGACCAAGATACTTCCCTGTGCGGGTCCGATTCTTCACCTGACCGATAAGCTGACGTAGACAAAATATTCTCTCGGCCGAATTAAGTCAGCTGACCCAGTGCGTTCGACCCAATTATCTGGTTAACCTCCTAAGAATAAGAGCGCATTGCCGGTTATTATTTTATGTAAATATTTGTATTTTTTCGGGTTAGTTTTATCTAAAGTTGGCAGTTTGGTAAACGCCATCTCATCAATATTCCAATTCATCCTAAATGCAGCAAGAATAGAGTAGAGTGTATTCGGTTTAAACACAATCTATTTGTTTAACTCTGAGTTAAGTTCGTGTTCTCTACCTTCGAACTTCATTCATCGTATCAGATTATGGGAACCAATTAGTCCTTTTAATTAATTCCTTCTTTTTAATTTGTTCCTATATATGAAAAACTTAATCAATCTTTTCCCCTCTCTTTTTTCGAACCTTGTGGTAAGAAAATTAGTATATTTACCATAATTTGTATATGTGAAAATTTTGAAGCTGCTTTTCATAAAAAAGTTTGCTCCCTGCGTTAAGGTGGTATCCCAGCCAATCATGTCAGATTATAACATTCTGCCCCATCCATTCTACGGCCTTATTATACTCTCTTTATAAAAGGCAGCGGTTTCTTTTTCACTGGTGAAATACAAAATAATAGAAACACTAGCAAATGCAAAATTTAAGCTTTAAAAGTAATGCTTATAAAATATGTTCAGTAACAAATGCAGCACAGCGTGTTCCATAATTTGTAATGCAGCGTAGTTCACAATTCTTTTCTTTGTTAAGCATTTACTAGCCGGTTTAGATGTATGGTAATTTAAAGTTTTTTTTTCCTTTTCTGTGACAATGAAGCGAGTTACTAAGATGAGTTTTGGACGCTGGGATTTAAAAAGTCCAAAATTAAGCTTAATCTGTTCAGTAATTCTGTTGTCTACATCGTATACTGAAATACAGTGTTTCTACATATTCAGATGAGTACACTAATCTAAACAAAATGAAATGTTTACTATAATAAAACTCAGGCAATATAGTCTTTAAATATTCAAAGAATCGATTTATTAAGTGCGTAGCTTGTTATTTGTTTCCTTGTAACACATGTAAAATATAATAATAAACAATTTTTTAAACATCAAGAGATAACCTCTTGTGGACTACTTTATTGTACTATTGGTTTTGTGTGGGCGATAGTAATCTATCCAACCCTCCACTTTTCTTGGTTCATGACTTGATGCAAACAAATGCCAAACAGATTAAATGCCATAGCTATAAAATCTGAATAGAATTATAGAAAGATCAAATATATTTTTTATTGTACGTTTTGACATTAAATCGAAAGAAACCGTTATCCTTTGGTATTTAGTTATGAGAAATGCGAATGTTATCGTCATAAAGTTATTGAGGCAAAATGCGCGCCTTCGCAAAAAGATCTAAAAGTTTTATTTTCTGCTATCGCAACGCCTATGCTCATTAACTTGATTTTTTTTGATAATCATAAATTTTTTACTCGATATTATCCAGTTTTTAAACTCCATTTTAGGTTTTGCGTATGCTATTTATGTTTATAAATTTGGAAATATTCAATTTCATGCCTGACGACTCATCAAAACATATCTGGTACGTCACTCCTATTCGTCTGACATGTTTAAAAATAGTGTAAGACATTTTGAATATAAGGGAATTCACCTAGTCGTTTTTGCTTTTCTTATAATTATTTGCTTTTATTCTATAATTATTTTTTTTTGTTATTATCTATTCATTGGATTTTCGCACTACTTGTATCTGGTTGTACGAGCGGAAGATTAAGCGAGAACGCAATTTCTCAATATTCCAGCAATTTTCTCTGTTACTTTTTCGACTTTTAATAAATCTGTCGCAAATTATAGTTTTGATTGTTTTTCATTGTCCATTTTTTCCAACCGTTTTGTAAGGTTCTCTAGGAACTTTCCAAACACTACAGAACTATCACCTTCATTTTCGTAATTCTTTTCAATTCTCATGCAATGTTTAGGCATTTTTCAGCTTTCCGTTTTCTTTCGTTCACACTCTGTTCTGCCGAAACAGAGAAATCCAGGACAACTATATATGATCTTCTCATTTGGATTGGGTGATCTGTTTAAACCTCGAAGCCGCAGACAAGTGTATATTTCTTTGTTTTCTAAGATATTTTCTGGTTTGTACATTGGATTGCAGTGATTTGCACAGTTCCTACTGAATCATAATTTCAACCCAGTCATTTTAAAATATTAATTACAAAACTATAAATACAAATCCATTTATTTTCCTGTAAGGAATATATAAACATATAGTATTTAATTTGGCATTTATTTTATATCCAAATTATTATTTAAATGCTATTTTTTTATTTACATTTAACCCATAATTTAAATTACATTAACATCTGTTTTATGAATTTTCTTTATTTTTATTGATTTAATTTTTGGAAAAAAATGATACACTAGTCTATTAGATTAAAGCGCTGGTTCATGAATTTGCTGGTATGGTAATCGTAAGTTCAATCTCTAGGCTGAGTAGTGCAGATTCATGCTCAGTGGAAACAGAGCAATAACTAGGAAGTACTGAAAACGAACGAGATATCCCTACATATGGATAGTGAAACGAAAACAATCTACCACTACCGTAGATTCAATAAAATGTTCGGTTCAAAATTTCTTGTACGTTACTCGGATCGAAAGACACCTTAAAAAGGCTGGGAGACATAACAGCCGAAACGTTGTGATAATGAGAACAACAATGAGGATATTTGTCTGAGTGTAAATAGTGATTTTCGTATGTTTTATTTGTATATGAAGTTAAACATATGAATTAAAATATTTTTGGTGAGATTTGAATCCTTAACCTCCTGAGCCGTAGCTTATCTTCATTTAAATACAATGTCCTCAATGCAATTATATTATATCTACCACTTTGTTGGTGAAGCATTACACGATCTAATGAAAGCATAACATATGTACGCAGAAACAAGAGAAGTAATAGATAAACAGATATTACAGTGGGAGTAATTATGAAAAAATACTGATGGTTTTGATGATACCTATAATTCTGATATGTCATTCGACGAAAAACAAAACAAAAACACAGCACGATGTATGGCTATCAGCTTGTTGACATGGTACATACAATATCACTTAGAGC